GTCTGCTCCGTAACAAGGAGGTACTGACCCCTGCAGGCTGCATTTCCCAAGTTCCCAGCAGACTTCTGGCTTTAGAGGAAATTTGTGGGAAGTTTGGAGACCAAGAGGAAAAGAAAATCTGGGTATTTCTACCTCTCTTTCTGCCTCAGGCTGTGTCTCCAGCATGGCTTCATGGCAGGAAAGGCCAGCTGCAGTTCCAAATTCCACTGGAAGACCCCCAACTCCTGGGATCACATAAAAGTGCCCCTCCCTTTGTCTTTCTTGGTATGGCTTCCTTTGTTGCTAATCTCTAGGTTGCCTCTCTGTCTCCTGTTTGGTTACTCAGATCTTCCATGATGTATATTACCAAGTCTTTCTATTAAGCCCCCACTATTTTAAATACTTTGAGTGGTTTCTGTGTTCCTGGTTGGATACTGACTAATACAAATAGTTTCAATCCAGAGCTGACAAGGATTATAACCCACTGTTTTCTATTGCCCTTCACATTGGCTTCAGAACAACCAAAACTATGAGAGAAAGTAAGAATTAAAAAGAAGAGAGGAAGAGAGAGGAGGGGAAGAGAGGACAGAGGAGGGAAAAGGTGAGAGGGGTAAGCATCTCTCTTCCCATGTGCCACCGAAGGGTTCATTGTTGCTCTCCATGGTGATACTATGTGTGATTTTTTTTTGTTTCTTCCCCATTTACTCCAAAATGGAATAGTTCTGACTAATATGGGCCATCAGCCCCACCCCCTACCCCCATGGCAGAGTCTCTCTGCTCTTCCTGTAATCAGGACAATCTAGCCCCCAACACAGTCCCTTCCAGAATGCCACTTCTCACAGCAAAGACGGGAATAGTCCGTGGCTGGTGTATCCATCCGGGGTTCTGTGTCAGCAGCTATTCTGCTCTGCCCGTCCTCATGGAGAAGTAAGAGCCTGGAGTGGCCGAGGACTTCACAGGAACTTCACAAAGAAGTTGCCTGTAGCTGCAGCATAATATACTGGGAAGCACATCATCAGGCCTAAGAAGCCTCACTTGTGGCACTGCTGGCCCTGAGAACTCGAATGTGTCTGCCAAGGGAGCTGCCTGCAGGAGCTCCCCAAACCCCTAGTCTGCAGGGCACAGAGCATTCCTCCTCAACACTGCACTTCACTTTCTACCTGGGCACCAAGGAACCTCTGTCAGCCAGGATCTCCATAACTCTCTTAAATGGCCAGTTGTTTGGTACTCACTTCTCTGACAATAGAAATAGAAAACAGTCCACTGAACCAAATTAGAGTGACCATCCTCAGTTCCCTGCTTCTCCCTTCCCTTGCTCAACCCTACGTCTTCTTCTCCTCACCCCAAAACAAAACGAAAGATGACAGGGAATATAGAGATATGTAAAAAGTTCCTTAGCAATAATGAGTAAAGTAACTGGAGAGAAAGGAGCCCTTGTGGGAAGTAATATAAGATTCTCCCTCAGACCTCCATACATTCCCACATTCTAGGAGAGATGAGTGTGTACATACAAGTGATATATGCAGATATAGCTCTGTGTACAAAGTGCCATGGGACAATAACAGGCGAGGTAGGAAGGACAGGCCTCTATTCACATTCATGCCCCAGCCAACAGGCCATGAACACAAAGGTTCAGAAGATATCAGCATGTCTGATATTCACTTTAAAAATCACATTTACTTTACCCATAGTACCTTAGTCGGTTTAGATTGCTATAACAAAGTGCCATACACCAGGTGGCTTATAAACAGCAAAATTACATTTCTCACATTTATGAAGACTGGAAGTCTGAGATCAAGGTGCCAGCATGGTCAGCTCCAGTAGGGCCCCTTTTCTGGGTTACAGACTGCCAATTTCTCCTTGTATTCTCACATGGCAGAGTGAGGACTAGGAACCCTCTCTGGGGTTCCTTTTAGAAGGTTACTAATCCTATCCATGAGGGCTCCACCTTCATGACCTAATCAATTCCCAAAGGCCACGCATCCTACTATCATTGCACTGGAGGTTAGGATTTCAACATGTCAATTTTGAGGAGGACACAAACATTCAGCCCATTGCACACAGGAATTAAAAGAATTCGATTACTCTTCTATTTTTCTCAATTTCACTTTGGGTTTTTACTGTCATTGTTACTTCTGTTCATTTTTCATAAAAATATGAGTTCTGTGAAAAAATTCTAAGTACATGTACTGTGAATAAATGCTCTTATTACCAAAAATTTTTCCTGTGAGTAGTACTACAAAGTAGAAGATGGATCTGGGAAAGGAGAAGTCAATTGAGTTTGTGGGCCTACTAATTGTTTTTATATTTTGCAAAGTTTTCATGAAATACTGATTTCATTTCTCCTAGTGGATTCTTCTGCTACTTTTTATTTTTAACTTTTATTTTTTGTTTGGAGCCAGAGTCTCTCTCTGTTGCCCAGGCTAGAGTGCCATGGTGGCAGCCTAGCTCACAGCAACCTCAAACTCCTGGGCTTAAGTAATCCTTCTGCCTCAGCCTACTGAGTAGCTAGGACTATAGGCATGTGTCACCATGCCCGGCTAATTTTTTCTATATATTTTTGGTTGTCCAGCTAATTTCTTTCTATTTTTAGTAGAGACGGGGTCTTGTTCCTGCTCAGGCTGGTCTCGAACTCCTGACCTCAAGCAATCCTTCCACCTCGGCCTCCCAGATTGCTAGGATTATAGGCGTGAGCCACTGCTCCCGGCCTCTGCTACTTTTTAAATGAAGGCATCAATATTTATAACTTACTCCTGGCTGTGTTGATTAAATAGAGGGGCATGAACATCTAGGCATTCAGGCCTTGTTACAGCAAGTCCTAGTTTTTGACTGGTCAGTTAATCTTAAGACTTAGGACTAACAGACTAGTATCTGTACTTTGATTCAATAATGTCTTTGGTTTGGTTGGGTTTGGGTTTTTTTGTTTGTTGTTGTTGTGTTGTGGTATTTTTCCCTCTCTCTTATTGATGTTATAAAATTCCAGTGCAGGTCTAATTTTTAACAAATACATAGCTAGAATGCTTTATTTCTTAGTTGCATGTACATTTAGCTTATGAGAAAGAATGATACTCATAGTAATGTGAAGAACTTCCGGAGGGGTCTCTAAGAGCCAAGATTTCCATATTAGTCCTTTTTTGGGGGGAAAAACAAGTCTAGGTTGCATACTTGAAATGTTTTCAATCGGCAGCTTCACATGCCAGGCTAAATCCGCTTTCTACTTCCCTGGTCAAATCTCCGAGATTTGTAAGGACAGTGGGCTGTTTCAACTGGTCAGCTCCTTTGTGGAGTCAGATGTTCCTATCCTAAGCTCTAAGTAAGTTCATTTGCACAAAATTAGCCACCCAAACTGTGGGCAGCTTTCTGTCAACGGGGTTTATATGGACCCAATCTGCAGCTTTCAGCTTAGATTGAGGAGTTTGAAAAATCACACCACGGCCACTTTGAAACTTGGAGTAAGCCCATTTGTCATTCACTTTAGTCCTTGGAAATTAATAAGTCACTCTGTTACACGAGCCCTCTGGTCTTAAACCATAGCACTGTATTAGAAATGCAAAAGAGAGCAATATCTGTTGCTACTTTTCCCATGTAATATTAATAAAAAATAAAGCTAAGCAGTATCATAGAATGGTATAGGGCAGATACTATGGCTTTTGGATTCAGACAAACTTAATTTTGAATCCTGGTACCATCAGATACTAACTGGAAGATCTTGTCTCTAAACCTTAGTTTCTCATCTGTGAAATGGAGATTTTAAGACCTATACTACTAACATTTTTATGAAAATTAGAAATGATAAATAAGTAAAGCAGTTGCTAATGTTATGAGTAGTATTGTGTTTTGAGTGAGAAAAAGAAAAAGAATTTTATTACATAATGGCACAACTGAGAAAAGAAAATATGCAGGTAGGAATGTAAAGCAGACAGAATCTCACTGCCCCAGGGCTTCACCCAGCACCAGCACAAATTCTAGGGCCACATAGCAGGAAGCCTACAGCCACCACTCCCTCCCCCGAAATGCAAAGAGCACACTGGGAAATGACATCCCAGGAAGGTTCTACAGTTAAGGAAATGTGACCATCACATAACTGTATGTCTTTAGCCTTCAGTTTGATCAAATGAGTCCAACGGCAGCCTTTCACTAAATAAGAGAGAAAAGGGTCTTTCCCGTGTGAGTGACAGAGGCTGTGATGGCCAGTGTGGAGTAATGTCACCGGGCAGCACTCATATTGCAGGCTGCATCCAAGACTGTGGGGTCAGGCCCCAAAGAACAACAGTATTCTAGAAGGCCTGACAGTTGTCATCTTGCTATTTAGCCAACTTCTTTTTTTATTTGTTCTGGCTGATTTTTAAAGCAACCCTCTTACTTGATCCCTGATTATTTTTCTTCTTGATCTCAATGAGCACTTCTGTAAATCATTTACAGCTATCTGCATAGTTGTGGCCTGGGTATATTAGACAGGATTGTAAAGGGGAAAACGTGTGAAGGACTTGAAAATGCTATGGTGTCCTTGATCTTTTGGCTCTTTTGACAACTCTGCATATCTTCAAATATTTTTCCCAGGCACATGGCCCTGAACTCAATATAAACTCAATATAAACTCAATAAATGTTTCTGGAATCTCTGCTGAAATTAAAGACTCATTCTGCCCTCCTCTAACTGACAGCATTACATTTTTTTGGAAAGGCGATTATAATACTTTCCAGTCATCAAAGCTTCCCATTATTACAAATTGGCATTTCTGGTGTAGATTAACAAATGCCAGAATTACCCTTCAGCTCCCAGCATAGATTCAGATTTGAACTCTGTATGTACAGCAGCTTTCAATGTACAGGCAGCAGAAATTACGCCATTGAAAAAAGTGGACATGCACCACAAACAAAAGATTAAATTTAATTAATTAATTAAATTTTCCCAGATGCAGCTTCTGAATTTTCAAGTTTTAAGTAAATCATTCACTCAATTAAAGTCTATTACAGCTGCAGAGGTTTCATCTATTAGTAAACAATCAAAAAATTCGTTACCTCTATCAAATTCTAGTTTTCTCCAGATGAACCTGAATCAAGTGTGTTTGAGCTTTCTGCTGCATGAAACATGGTATTTACTGGGTCAATCTCTGCCCTAAGTTGGAGAAGAGAGGAAAATTGAGATAGAGATGAGAAAGCTGTCAAATTGTTAAACCTAAAAATATACTGGTCAGAGTAAAAAGTATTCAGGTGGAATATTTTTAGCTATGTGGTAAAGCTCAGTTCAGTCTATTGGAGATCTACTAAGTAGTTCAAAGCTAAAAACTACGGATAGAAGTTAGGGGCTAATATCAAAAGGGAAGGGTAGAAGATGAGAAAAAATATTTTTTAAAGAAGTACCTGTTTAATTATACTGTCAACACAGAAAACCAGACATTGAGTTGTATCTTTTTGTCTTTTATAAATAATTCTGCATTAAGGAAAACAAAACTACGTTTAGAAAACTTGAGGCCAACTGGAAAAAGAGCTTAGTCTTGAGTAAATTGGTTATTTTAGGGAAAAAGGCGAACAAAACTGTTCCTACTGAGTCAATAGCCATAAACATTTTCACTGAACTGTTAGATAGTTTTTACATAGCAATATCACAAAACATTTTACAGTTTCTCTTTTTACATGAAGAATTAAGCAAAATTCCAACTGATGTTTATAACCTGGGGTCCAAATCTATATCCTAATAAGTCAGTGCAGAGTTGATGCTACTATTATATAAATAGCCTAGAGCTGGGGTTCTGGAAATGTGGTCTATAGTCAAGCAGCATCGGCATTACCTGGGAACTTGTAGATGTGCAAATTCTAGAGTCCTCCCCCAGATGCACTGAATCAGAAACTCTTGGGGGTGAGCCCAGCAGTCTATGCTACACGTCTGACAACCACCCGGCCTTCAGACTTGCAGTTAGAGCTTGCAAAGTAAAGGTGCTTCTACCTCTATTCTCTTCTCCGCAACTGGCTGGAAAGAACAATAAGGAACAAAAACAAGGAAATTCCATTTTAAATGATATTAGCCACTACAATACCAAACCAAAAACTATGAAGAATACAGTGAGATTTGGATTCAATTGAGCATAATAGATGCATACCTTAACAGACCTCAGGCAGAGCATGGAATTCTACAAAGGAAAGAGACACAGCCCTAAGGCGCCTGACCAGTGATTTCTTATTTGAAACAGCAAGTTGTAGAGTGACAGGCAATGTGGGGCCAAATGAGGAATGAGCCAGACACACCATCTTTCAAACTAGTAGGCTGGCAATATGGCCAGGAGAGATGGTGAGTAGCAATCAATTGTTGTTTTATGGTTGCTGCTCAGAATTGCTAAAGTAAAATTAATAAACATGAATTCCCAACACATAGCTCTATGGCAAAATAAGCAAACTGAAAGGGCAGAGAAGTGAACAAAACTCTGTCCCCTGGCAGAAACTTTACAAAGAGAACTGAAGCAGCATAACCATAATAAAGCCATCTGCTGTCCCAGCTTACTTCCTCAGTCCTTTCTCAGACTTTTGTTCAGCAAACAGCTAGCCCTGAAAGAATGGCCCTATTTAAAGATGAGAAAAATATTGGAAAAAAACTGGCATAAAACCAACATATAGAGACAGTACAAGAAAAAAATGGAAAAGTAACATAAAAGAGGCACACAAAAATCACCTGTAACAATTAGACAAGAAATATGTTTTCTTCAAATACTTTTCAGTGATATTGAAAAAAAATTAAAGAAAATAGAGCCTTTTTGAAAAAAAGTATTTAGAACAAGAGAGAATGGCTCAAAGAAGAAAAGACAAGCTAATAGGAGGATATTAAAAATGAGCTGGCAGAACTTAGCAAGGAAGTAGAAGAAATAAATATGACTCATTCAGAAATAAAATTCACTTTAGAAGCAGAAAATTTTTAATGAACACCACCAAAAATACAGGCTTAATTATGGAAGTTAGACTTGAGAACATCAAGTAAAATGAACAGAACAAGAATAAAGAATTAGAAATCATTAGAAAGAATAATTAAAGATAAACGTAAATGGACATAGAAGACAAACATAAGATTCAACATGTATATCCATGAAGAGAAGAAAATGAATTAGAAAAAAATCAAAGTTATGCTAAAGGAAAAATATTCCAGGTCATGTTAATAATTTCAAATCTAAGGCAAAAAGTACTAAGTTAATCAAAGAAGGGGATTTGATCATGATGAAGTGTATAGTCTGTAGTGAAGATCTAACTATCCTGAATCTCTATGTACCAAATAATATATTATCAAAATACATAAAGCAAAAACTGGAAAAAACAGACATAAATACATGAATGGTAACAGAAAACATATATATAGTCCTTGGCAAATGATAAAGATTAAAAATAAGTACCAACACAGAAAAAAATTAAGTAACATAATTAATAATGTGGACATATACATACACACACACACACACAATCAAATGAAGCGACTTTTAAAAGCACATGAAAAATGTGTTATAGTTGTTAGTGTAATAGTCCTGAAAGAAAATCTCAACAAATTTCCAAATGTGAAATAGCATAGATGATGTTTTGTAACCACAATACCATGACAGTAGAAATTCACAATAAAAATTGAGGCCAACACACCAAGAAGTGAAACATTCTCAAACAACTCTTGTGTCAAACAGGAAATCAAAACTGAATTAGCCAAATTAGGAGACTGAAGCCTTGAGGGTTCTTGGTTCCTATTTCCAGCCAAAGTCATCAGATCAGGTTAAGGCTTTAGATATAGCTTCAAAAAGAAGATAAGGAACTACATAATGTTACAAATAATAAAATTCACATATAAAATTAATTGCTGTCCTATATACAAATAATAACTTTTTCGAAAAAAAGTAAGAAAAGGAAAGATCTCGTTTTCAACAGCAACTGTATCATTTACGGCCTTGCCAACAAAACAGAACCCTGACATATAATTAAATATATAGAATTTAACATAGGAACTAGTTATGAAGGTGTTAGAATAGCTGAAAGAGCAAATATGGAAAGGTATTCCCCAAGAATTAGTAACAGCAGAAAGCTGCTAATATCCCTAGTCTGGAAGGATAAAAGGGGGGCGGGTATTCCTAGAGTCTAGAAGCTGAGCCCATCAAGATTGCTGGCACTCTGACAGGTCTGCCTGTCGGAAGCTGAAACTTTGGGGGGAGCTAGAGTTGTAGAGGTGACTCAACCATAGTGGCTAATGGGAGCAGAGGCCTGGGAGAACTACCCTAGCTTCCTTCCTGCCCCTTCCCTCCATCATCTCTCCAGTGCTTCCCATTGTCAAATTTAAACAGAAGCCAACTGACTAAAGAACTAGGGGATGCAGCTTACATGGTGTCTGTCCTACCTTATAAACTGCAGGAGAGAGGAGAGAAATGGATCTGAAAGCAAATAGACAAAAGATCATGAGCATAGCAGCAAAAAGAAAAAAATACAATTAAAAGAAAGAGAGGGAAAATTAACTCCACTTCCCATACTTCACTTAAAGACCTTCCCTTAATAGGAAATGTGTTATAGGCAATGAAGATGTTTATTGAATTATTTTAAAATATGGGAATGGGTCCCAGAGATACTGTATACAAATTATAGACAATAAGCAATGAATTCTCCCTCACACCATCCCCTCAGTCCCTCTCCACAGAGGTGACCACTGTTATTGACCACACTCAATTATTTTGAGTGTGTTTCTGGAAATTTTTCCTACATATACATGAATATTTTTGAATGCCCACAAACATAATATCCATATTATTCTATCTTTAGGGTTTTTTTCCACTTATGTATATATGCTGGAGAGCTTGTCATAATGTATTTTTAAAAGTCTCCAATTTCATGAATAAATAGGCCACCTCAAAGTTTTTGCTGCTATAGAGAATACATTACAAAAGTGAGGGAGTACTGATAACATTGCTTGGCTATTATTATCTTTACATGCCTGGTATTTCACGCAATTCAGTTAGCATATGTTAGGCCAAGGGCAATACAGCTAAAAGTAGAACCTAAGTAGGATATAGGGTTTAGAAGTAAGTTACTGAAACGTGGAGCTCATTTTATATATATATCTCACAATCATTGTTACTTACGATTCATACCCATATGTATGGGAATATTTAGAAGGACGTGCAGATGTAACCAATATGTGCATCTTTACCCTCAAGGCAATTGTACATACCAATGTTCTTATGCTCCCCAAACTAAATAAAACTTGATTCCCTCTGATTTAGCCAGGCCAATTCACTCGCCTCTGAAATTTTTCAAGTTTTGGAGATAGATTAACCGTATGGTTTTGGAAAGGCCTTAACCTTGTCCAAACTGTGGACTCAGTTTTCTCATTAAAATGAAGATGTCAGTTTAATCTATGCTGGTCTTAAAAACTCAGCAATTCTACTCTTCTCAGCTCTTGCTGTTATAGGAGCAGAGGCCTAGGGAGAACTACCCTAGCTTCCTCCTACTTTCCATCACCTTTCCAGTGTCTTCCAAGAGCAAAGCCAACTCTCCCCACCCCCGCCTTTTTTATATTCTTGTTGTTTGATGAGTTAAGTTTCAGAGTTCAGGGGAGGATATCTTGAAACTCATTCCTGAATACTTTAGAATTTTCATATTGATTTTTCTCTGTAATTCCTGTATTTTCCCCTTGATTCTTGTGAAGCATTAGAGGTTCACCAGTTTCCTCCCAGGAAGAAAATTAAAAGAATAAAATATTGGGGAGAGAGCATGAGGATGAAAGTATTGAACATTACCATAAAATTAGACTACGGTTGCCTTTTGCTGCCTTCAAAAAGAATAAATTATGATGCAGCCTTAAAATGAAAGTTCCATATGCAGTCAAAAGCTGTCACAAGACAGGCCATGCAATTAAGGCAATAAAAGTTTCCAAATTTGAGGAAAGATCATAGAATTTTTAAAGTTAAAAGAGTTTAGTGATAATATGGAGGTCCTGACAGACTATCAGGCAAACTCTGAACATTTGGCCATTTAAAACTTTCAGGAAGTACCTTAATTTTCAATGACATGTAACTCAGTTAAGGAAAAAATGAAACTAAAAGTTTAATCAAATAGGAAATGAACATGAAACCCTGGTATTTTTGAACACATATCAAGATTATTCTATTAATTCTAAAGATGAAACTATCTAAATTGCCAGCATGGATTGTGAAAAACAATGAGTCCTCACGTCCTCAAACATTACTGCCAAAGGCCAAAGGTAATCTTCAAGAATCTTTAAACAAGCAATGTGAAAAATTCACAGACTCAACTTTGGAATGTTGAAAAAAGTGGTAAGTAGATTTTGCATGCCACCACACCCAGCTAATTTTTCTATTTTTAGTTGAGGCAAGGTCTTGCTCTTGCTCAGGCTGGTCTCAAATTCCTGAGTTCAAGGGATCCTCCTGCCTCGGCCTCCCAGAGTGCTGGAATTACAGGTTTTAGCGACCACACCCAGTCAGATTTACTTTTAATAATAAGCTAGTCTTGATTTTAAAATTATTCATACATTAAATATATTATTTTGGAAAGATGACACTAAATAATGATTTACATTGAGAAAATATGACAATTAGCTGAGATATGTCCCAGTGGCATATTACTGAATTAGAAAAGCTAAAATACACTGTAAGCATATAGAATTGGCAATCCTAAAAAAGTGATTCATTAATTCAGCCCCAGAGAGTCAGGAAAGGTTCCATCCAAGAAGCAAAATTTTAAATAAATGGATGAGATGTAGATCCCAAGTCATAGAACAGGGGAAGGGCATTCCAGGAGGAGAGAATAGCAAGTACAAAGGCACCGAGGCAAGTTTGGAGAGAAAAGTTTAGTATGATTTCCGGAACAGTGTGTATATACACAGTGAGAGGAGATTGAGCAGGAATGTAGCTGGGGCCAGAATGTGCTGTCGAGTTTGAGGCATGCTCAAACACCCTGACTTCTTTAACAACAAGAAACTATGCTAAACTATACAGCCACACGTTCTATCACAGCACATTAATGATCACATATTAACAGAGGGGAAACTGGAAAATGATTCCCAGCTATGGTAATAACTCAAACATTTTCTGTTTCAGTTTTCAGAGCACCAGCATGCAAGATAACACTTGAGAGTATGCTTTCTTTAACTCACATTAAAATAAGCAGCAGAACAGCTATTATAGCATTTTAAAAATACTAGATCTTGGATGAACACTAATGAAATAAAAGTGGTGGAGATAAATTCACATCATGGAGAGTTTTACATCTTGATAATGCCAGTGCATCCGTGAAATATGTAGGTAACATGCTAGAGAGTGCTAGAGAATACAGAGCTCTCAAGGTTCCAGTGCTTGGGAGCTTCTGAAACCAAAAAGCAGATTTGGCTTCTTGAGAACCTGTGCAGAAAGTAACTGTCTTTTCCCCAGCTGTATCTCCTTCTTTGTCCACAGTGCTGGCGTATTTACTCTTACACATGGATGTCTTAACTTTTGCCATGGTCAGTGCTCATGCTATTTTCAACACCCTGTTTATTAAATGTGCCCATTCAAATTCCACCCACCCCTTTTCCTCCCAGTTTGAGCATCACTAGGCATGTATATGAAGCAAGGAATATGTTTGTGACATATAGTGGTGGTGAAACGAGGAATGGAGTAAATATATACTAAACACCTAGAACATATTGATCATTAGGGTTTAGTTTTAAATAATTAACTTGATGTAATCTTGTGTTAAGAACTATCTGTGTCCTAGAGTTGAGACCTAAATGCCCATCACTTTCCTCTCCACTGATTGCAGTCTCATGCAACCCGGGTCCCTGCCTCCCCTGTCCCTTCTACCATGCTTTTACGGATTTATTAAAAGCCATATGTTTCCTCATTTCCTTTATAATGATCCTTTCTTCAAATACTCCTTAACCCTCACTAACACCAAGGTTTCTTTCCTGATCATCTCAAAGTCCTAAAAAGTATATTTAAAATTAAATTTTTTAAAAAGCATATCATTGCCACCGTTATAAAAACCTCTTCTGGTTCAGCTTTCTTACCTATCAAAAGGAGAACTTTTCAGGATAATTTATCCAGTTCTCTCAAGATATTCAATAATAATAATTTCCCTAATGTTCAGTTATTAATACATTGCAGTCCTGATTTCTTAGAAGCGACAGTTCACTCATTTATCAATATATTCTGAAAGAGAACATTAGGTACCCAAGAGGTGAGAACACCCAAATCATGATAGTATACTCTCAAAAACAAGACAATTATTAGCTCAAATATTTCAGTCTCCAAGCCTTTTCCCTGCTGGGTAAGCTGACAAGCCACACAGATTCATTCAAATGATAAATGGGACCCCAAAGTATTAAAACTAACATCAAAGATCAGGGGCTAGGGTCAAGGGCCATTGAATACAAATTTCTGCATTTTGGAGCATAAAACTGGGTTGTTTTTAACTTTAAAAATGTGGTGAGTTATATCTATAGAGCATAAGTGTTTGTCAGATAAAATATGTTTCAAGGACTTGATTACAAAATCCTGACAGGACCTGGAATCTGGTCCCAGGGGAATTGTTAAATTCTGTTTATGCTAGTCACACAAAAGCACATTTAAGTGGAAAGAATTAATGTTAGTTAAATCAGATAACAAATGGTTCTTTGAAGACTCCTGGTGCGATTCTCACTGAGTCTTCAGTGTTTTTGCAAAGCATTCGCTGGTAGAGACACCCTGCCTCATTTTGGTCACTGTCATCATGTGCTCTCCACTTTCTGTCTTCCTTGAGACTGAAAGATAGATTTGAGAGATCTTCCATGCCAAAACCCCCAAAAGTGAAATTAGAAGTTTGACTGAATTTTGTCTCAAGTTTGAGCGTTGTCGGGCAGCACAAAAGGCAAAGCCGATAAAAAGCAAGCATTGGAATGGAAGCAAAAATGAAAAGCAAAGACACAGCCACGCTCTCCACAGTCTCAAGAAACGAAAGCAGCTGAAATGGGAACAACTCCCCTTGCTTACCCTTCAGAGACAAAGCGGCAGGAAATTGTGAGATTCCTCCCAGAGCCCCACTTGCGAGGAAGCCCATTTAGTAAATGGTATGAGTTGTGGGATCTGTTGTTATTGGTTTTCTTCCCTGGGAACACAGCACACTGGGGATTCAGCCGTACCACAAAACGGTCTTCTAAACCCTCAGACATGTCAAGTGCAGACTGAGAACTGCTCCTTCTGGGTTTGCAAAGAGCCATAACTCTCCTTCTTGGCCCACTTACTCTTGGCACTCTTGAATTGCTAGGGGAAAGTTTTTGAACCCATCAGTTAAGGAGCTCGGTGCTACGGGCTGCCATTAGCTCAGCTTCATAACATCTGTTCTGTGTTTTTGTTGCGTAGGTAACCTGAAGCTCACAGGACAAAAGTGACAGAACCAGAACCAAGCCATGGAGAGTCTTCAAGGAGAGAAGCCCCTAAAACACAGGGTCCTTCTTGCTATGTATCAAAATTGGGTCCTATTTATCATCCCTGATAAAGGTTCCACTCAACACCAAAAGGAAAAAGAAAACTCCAAAATAATTTACTCCAACAGAAATATAATGCAAATTATTCCCAAATTCATATATCTTAGGTGGGATTTTTTATTTATGCATAATAATATCTAGCATTTTTTGAGTGCCTACTATATGCCAAACACTACTATAAGTATTTTACATGTATGAATCCATGCAATCCTCACAATAAGCCACAATGTATCAGTCAGGTAATATCAGAACCATCTCTATCTTACAGGTGAGAGAAATGAGGTACATCACATCTGTAAGGTCCCAGAACTGGAAAATAGCAGAGCTAGGACTTGAACCCATGGAAGCTCATTCCAGTACTTAGATTCTTAGTCGTTAGGTCATACTGCCTTTCATGCTTACCAAAGCACAGAAAGTCAAACAGATAAATGAAAATCAAATTTGGAGGCTGAAAAATCTCTTGAATTTTAAGTACTAGCAATTACTCTCACAGGAATCTATAAATATCCAATTTCTCTCTCTGGGCTATATGGGTGGGTGCACAAGCCTCCATAAAAGGTACAAAAGTCATCTTTGGGTTTCTTCTCTTTCACAGACGGGGCCCTGCTCTGCTGCACCAGGCTGCAATCGCGCTTGCTGTGCTTCCTACGCTTGTGTGGATGAGAAGAAGCCAACGTGCAGCTACAGCAGCCATTTTCCTGTCAAAAATAAGCTATGTGAGTTAGGAAATGTGTCTCTTCGGTTCACTGCTGTACCTCCAGTGTCTAAAACAGAGCCTGACTATAGCAGACATTCCGTTGCTATTTGGTAAGGGAGTGAATTCTTTTGTGTGTCAGAGTGTCATATATGATCACTGTAACTGTATCATGCATATGTGCCCTTATTTATTATGGAGAGGATTTTCAAATAACTGTGAATTCCCAGAAAACAAACTTTATACTTGGTGAAACACCTAAATGAGTGCAGACAAGACTTTGAACATTACATTTTTAAAAGAAGAAGAAATTTCTGCTTCAATCTTACTGAAATTAGCCTGACAGAGACTGTAGATTTAATATAAAATGGTTGAATAAAATATAGATGATATCTCTTTAAAGCATTTTTAAGAAATTAAGGACTCAAAATAAATTAGAGGGTTTATTATATATAATTTATATCTGCCAACTATTTATTAGAAAGATTTACTTTGGTGGATATAATTTTTATGGTACCATCTTTTTACTGCCAACACAGTTTTGAAAAGTATAGTCTATTAAATAGGATAATGAGTCCTATTGAAGACTGCACCAAAATAGTAAAAAATATATCAGTTGTATTTCATCCAGAACAAAAAGAGATTAAATTTACCTCATCCCTGGATATGGTATTTGGCTTAAATTGCATTTTTGCAGCAGGGTGGAGTTTGAGATCAAAAACACCAGAAAAATTATGCATTTAATGAAAGCCAACCTTCTGGCAACTAGGCTAAGCACTGTTTTGTCCTATTTCTGTGGAATTTTGGTCATATCCCAGATATCAAAGAATATGCTTTATTCCTACAAAACAATAGCCTCAAGAAAAATGGACACTCTCTCTGTAATAGTGCTTAATTTAAATGTCAATTGTGTTTATTAATTCACTGAAATAAAAGTATATATGCATAAACCAATAGTAAATATTATACATTTAAACCTTCACGTTAAAAATGAACAACAAAGAAAAGAAGGAAGGTAATGTTCTCCTGTCAAAGCTAGCAGATCATTAACATTTTTAGAGCTAAAAGGAAACCTTGGAATTAATCTAGTCCTATCTACTGGTTTCACAAGCAAATAAATTGGGGTAGTAAAAAGTGCAATGATTTATCTATGATCTCATAGCCACTGAAGGAGAAAGCTAAGACTAAGATCCAGATATACCACGTGTAGTCCAGACATTTCATTGCCCCAACTGTCTAGCTGCAATGCTGCCTTGTGCCACCCACAGGAGATCGTGTTCAGTAGTTTGCTATACCCAGGCTCTGGTGATTGTTTTGAAACTGGCTTTAACTTGAAGATGCATTGCAGCCCCCTGAGAACCTGGCACCAGGTACCCTAGGGTCTGTTTACAGTTGTTAGTGGGACTACCTCCTGGATCTCGATGTGTGTGTGGGAACTTGGTTTCCTAACAACTGTGTCATTCACTCGTGGCAGCCTGGGTCAGACACATGTCATGACCATGTTTATTTTGTGCTGTTATATAATCAAAAAAGGTCTCTAACAAACTTACCCAAGAGCCACATTTTAATCATTTGTGTTATTTTTTTGTGAGTAGCCAAATGTACTATATTTTCCTATTGTCTGAAAAGAAATCTCCCATCCTTATCCTTTCTCTTCATCCTCCTTTCTTAAAAATAATGTCTCATCTAATTTTTCATGGAGCTTATCAATTCCATGATAGAGCAGCACCTCTGAGAGTCAGACAGACAAAACTCTAGTGTAACAAGAAAACCGTAAAGGTTGATTTCTATAGTGTACTCAATCCTGTGATCCAACTGAGCCATCAATCCCCCAACCCAGGAGAGTCAATCCTGTTGATGTCAGGCCACCAAGAAAAGCTTTCTTTATGCTGCTGTTCCAGTCGATTCAGCTGAAGTTTTACCCCAACCAGCAGATCCCTGGTTGTTCTCAGTGATGGCCTGATACCAGGCATGTCCATGTTCATGTGTATCACCCCACTGACACTCCCATTTAGAAAACAAATTCCTCCTAGAATAAATTATTTTGTACAATATACTTTATGTCCCTGATTCTGCAATAACCTGGAGATTAACAGACATTAAACTATGGACAACAGCATATGTCATCATAATGAGGAAGGACCTCCAAGAGTTACAAGTGATCCCAACACCGTTTTATAATTGTTCATTTTCATAGAGTTGATAGATGCACCATGTAGAAATGCAAGAAGCAAGGCAGTTGAGACAATCATAAACCGAATTGCCTTGGCTTTGTTTGAGCCCCAAAGATCCAAGTTTGGGAATTTAGGGATATAGATTACTATGCCAGTCTGGTTTCTTGCATACTTTCACTCCACAAGCCCCTCACAGTCACATGCATTTGATATTCACCAAGAGGACATAACATCTGCTTCCTCTCAAAAGTTCCATGTAAGTTGTGGAGATCAATGGGAAAAAGTCTCTGAAACATGTAGCCATCAAGATTATTATGGCAAATTTCTAGTTCTACCTATTGCATTTTGATAGAAATTCCAGTTTCATAAAATGGAAATTATTGGTAAGAGAGACTGGGGTGACATTTATAAGTCCTTTATGTAACATTTTACAGCTTTGCACATTATAATTTAGTGATAAGAGGAAAAGGAAAAAACATTGTATATTTGCTCTCAAAATTATTAAGTAGCATATTTTTTAACAGAATTTTTAAGAGAAACTACCAATTTCCATTTTTATGGAATGACCTGAGTCATGTCCATTCTATAAAGGTATTATTTAATTATATTATCATTTTAATATTATTATTATTATTGACAATAATGACAATAGTTCTCCAAAATATTCTAGCAGAAAACTATGGAAATTCCTTCTCTTTTTTCATACATTCAGATCATCATTCATTTATTATTGCTCTCATAACTTACAATCCAGAATAACCATTGTGATTCTGGTTGATTCTGTACTTTGCCTCAATCAAGATCTCATATAGCAACAGTTCCCAAATCTTTGAATTTTCAAATTTCTGAACTATTTATAAGAGGTAATCCATACAAGGTGAACAGATGAGGTACAGCAATGTCTTAGAAGGACCTGTAGCTAACTCAGCCCAACTCAATAGAAGCCCCAGAGTACCTATAGCTGGTGTGAACCCCAACCTGAGTTTGAGGTTGAAAAGCTAGCATCATACTGACACTGACTGGGGTGGAGGAATGGGGTTTTTCTTTATTATTAATAATCTGAAATTTGTTTTATTAAATACAATCGCAACCATTCATATAATGTGCCAAATCTTACACTAAGTCCTTTACATGGAATTTCCTCACTTAATTTTCACAATTGTTCTACGATGCTATCCCCATTTCACAGATCATGTGCTTGAAGCTCTAAGGGATAGATCAGACATAAGTAGTAGAGCTAAGAGTTGAACACAGGCTTTCTGAATCCAACGTCAAGATGTTAACCTCTCTGGGTAGACAAATAGGTAATATTTTAAAATAATTTTAAAATTATTAACTTTTTATTTTAATTTATTTAAATTTTTTTTAATTTTTAAAAGAAAAAAAGCACCATATTCTGTTGTTTGATAAAACCTAATAACCAGGACCTAACTGTTATATGAGAAACTAAATGGTCAATTTCAAATACGTAATTTCAAAAGAAATACCAATGACCCTGAAGATGAGAAAAGATGTTGAATCTCTACTCATCAGGAAAATACAAATTGAAATAGCAATGTTTCTGTTTTATCATCCATTACATTTGGATGCAAGAGTTAAAAGCACTAACAATCTCTGGTTTGGCCATTAGTCTGTCTTCTTTTGAAAAGTTTTTGTACATGTCCTTTGCTCACTTTTTAATGGGGTTGTTTGAGTTTTTCTTGCTGATTTTCCTGAGTTCTATGTAGATTCCAGTTATCAGCCCTTTATCGGATGTATAGCATGCAAATATTTTCTCCCATTGTCTATTTGCTCTCATGATAGTTTCCTTGGCTGTGAAGAAGGTTTTTAATTTGATCAGGTCCCAGTTATTTATTTTTGTTGTGGTTGTGATTGCCTTTAGGGTCTTCTTGGCTTGGGTGAAGATGCTGACCCTCCTGTTTTCTGTTATTTTCAGGAGATTTGGGAGAGATGCCTGCTACCCTTTGTCTTGGCAATCTGGGATGCTGTTATCACATTCCCCTCACCCTGCCAACACAGAGAATTCTGTGGCCAGCCCCTCCATGTGTGATCTAAGCCGAAGAAAGATACTCAATCTGAGTTCCTCTTCTACTGAATCAGGAGCCTCTAGCAATATCCACTCCTCTCTTATGGCAAAGCAGGGGCGGGATTTCAGGCTTCTGACTTACATGGCATCTATACAAGTCCTAGGACCACCCACATGCACCAGGGAGGAGCTCAGCTACCATCACAGCAGGCACCTGTGCTACCACCCTGCCTCTGAGGTCACCTCTTTTACACCTTCCCTCCTCTGGATTTTGCAAAGCCCATTCCTAGCTGCCTAATCTCACTTCCTCTGACTTTACCCATTTCCTGGCTAGTACCTGCTTGCTCCTCCCTTCCTCTGGCACCTGATGCCTTTGTCTGCCTTATTTATAGTGTCTGCAAGATCTTCCTTCTGGCTCAGGCTATCCTAGCCAGCTCTGTCCCCAAGGACCAGAACAGCCTGGGTTCGTGACTTTGGGAATTCAACAACCAGTATATATATTTTTGTAATGTAGAATTTTCAGAAAACTACCAAGTGCCAATTTTGGCAAGTTGAGCCATCAAAAACAAGAAATGTCATGTACCAACACCATGATTTTATGAAACAAAAGCATTTTAACACTAAAAATGGGGCAGTCATAATCTTGGAAAACAAAAGTGTTTCTCAAAGAATACCAATTAGGCAGCTTTGGGTTGGGGAAAATCTAATGTGGGGGAAGGACTCATGACTAGAAGTAGCTGACATAGTAGAAAACAGCCAAGCCTGTCTGTCGATCACAAGGGATCCTCTTGGAAGTGAGAGCTAAACCACTTTTCGCACCTCATGCCCTACCTTTCCTGCCACCTCAAGGTCACTTGAGTGAGTTCCTCATCTCCTTAAGCTAAGGGGTCACATTAGCTGCTTTTCTCTTTCTGAAAACTCTATCCATCAACAGCTGCCTGCAGGCCACCCTGGAAAGGCCTGCAAAATGAACCTCACCTATGTCTGGAGTTTACTGCCCCCATCCAAAGGCACTGCATGGACCCCTCCTTATGTTCTACAGCCTGGGCTACTTTAAGCTGCCCCCAAAGAGTATAGAGTTCTTGACATGCAGAGAGGCTGTGAAAATGTGGAGAAAAGCTCCAGCAGAAGTACTGGAGTCGAAATAGACAGTCATATTCTTATAAGTGCTCATTT